TCATCCTATATCTTGAGCCTACACAACAAAGCCCATTACAGATACGACCAGATTCAAGCAATCATCTATCATACTATAGCTAGGAAAGTATAAATAATCACCTAAACTTTACACATAAGAATGGAAGTGACAAATAGAAGATTGAAACAAAATACAAAAAGCAAACCCAATAAAACACGACAAAACAATTCCTTCTCATTAGACATTCCCAAGGAATCCCAACAATCAGGGTATGAATTCGGATAGCAAAGAGTTACTCCCTGCCCAAAAGAGAAATCAACTAGTACATGATGACAAAAATCAAACGTCAAATTCATTACAAAAGTCACTAACTTCAGATATAAGCTTTTTTTTTTTCCTTCCCTTATTTACCTACATCAGCACCAATAAATTTCGAGAATCTATCATCAATCACTTAAGAACAGATATTATTAGCCAATTCAAAAATTGGAGTGAAAAGCCTCATACATTCTACAAAAGGTAATCTTGCATACTCTGAAATCTTCTCTAATACAAATCATATAGGAAGTCTATCAACATTCAAACATCAGCATAACAATAAGTGCAAGAAATATCCGAGCCTTGCTTTTACTTTCATAATCAATTCAAACAGCAGGAAAATCAAAATTACAATCAACAAGACTCAATAAAGAACTCTCCAGGTCTGGAAAACATGCAATGCAACACTATCTAGCATCCCATGCTACATTTGAACCTATTATACGAAATTTACAAGCATAAATATTAACATTTGTAATCAAATTCAACTTCTATTAACAAACTCTCACTTTGTGTAAGCCATTTTAGCAAACTAAGCAAAGTAAATGTAACTTCTCATAATCCATTGGAGTCCAAGATAGTCTTTAATTCAGTGAAAAAGTTCACTAACACAGCATAATCCATCTATACAACAGATAAATCAAAGATTGTATATTTCTTATTTTCAAATCATTAATTTATTCGCTAGATAATTCAAAGATTGATTCTTACTTTCAGATTAATTAAAGATAAATTAAACCCAGAAATGTATTTCTTTGTTTCTTTGAGACTTTGAGTTAATCCCCATTTACACATACTCCATTAATTCAAAAGATTCCCAATTACTAGAAATTTCACTTTTATTTTATTTCTGTTCAATTGAATTCGATTTTTGATGGGAAAATTTTGAAATTTTCATCTGGGCATAGAATAAATTTCGATTAATGTTAAATACCTGACAAAGATTCCCATCAGAAGCCCAAGAAACCCGTTTTGATTTTTGCGATCCTTGCATACTAAAAATTAACTGAACCCTAAATCTGAAAAATATAAATTTGAGTAAAGACAAAGAACTAAATCTGGAATTTGATAGAATAAAAGACAACCATTGAATTGATTTACCTAAGAAACAGTGAGTTCTGGAATTCGATTTTCTGGAGAAAAAAAAAAAAAAACAGTTTTATAAATAAACACGAAAATCTTCAAGTTGGAGGAAGGAAAAAGGACGAATGAAGCCCTTTCGGGTTATTTAGATGGAGAGAAAAAGACCCAATTCTTAAATATGGATTACTTGACAATTTAAGACCCTTCTATAAATTTGTTACAATTTGTTAAATACCAAAAAAAAAACAAATTATATATTTATTGTCTTCATCAAATTCAATATTGATTCTAGTTTTCAAACTTGTGCATTGTCATTAAAAAAGCGAAAAGAAAATAGAAATCGTTATTGATGATCCCTAGTTTTGATAACTTAGGGTTTGTAATCTTATACTTCGTCTTATTCTTTTATTATCTATTAATAGTTTGTCGAGATAGAGTAATGTTAGGTAATGGTGTCTATTTCAATTGTCCACATGAAAAGACGAAATTATCTTACCTCCTTTGATTATTAATAATACTCCGTATAAAATAAGCACAGAGTAATCAACTAAAGTTAGTATCAACTTTCATGTGGAATCAACGAGAGATATTCAATACCCCATTTCTCAGCTTACATTAAATGTCACTAAAATTTTTGAAGTTACCAAATATTTTTCAACTAAATCAACCAAAAAAAAAGAAAATGTCAACAATTATCATTCTATATCATTCACAATCATTGAATAAAAATAAATAAAAAAATTAAAAAAAAAAAAAATAATAATCAATAATTTATGAACAACTCAAAGAACCTGTGCATAGCACGGGTATGGAATCGTACACTTGTTGATATTACTTTTCAAAAACAATCTAGTAATATACATTCGATAAAACTTTCCAAAGGAACATTTGTCAAAAAAAAACTTTTTAAAGAAACTTTTTGTCAAGAAAAACCTTATAAATTTTTTTTGACAACTTAAAACCTGATTGTTAAAGAACCTAGGACCATTAATTCACTTGATTAATCTCTAATTTTCCATCATTTCTTCTAATTACCCATAATTCTCACTTAACTATTTTATATTTTAAATTAATTTATAAATTAAGAAAAAATAACAAAAACCACCATCTCTACCACCGGCCAGGCACCCCCTCCCATTCCCCTTCTCGTGGCAGCAACCCCCCTCCCCCATCTGAGCCGCCGCCTAGAATCTCCATCCTCGACGACCCGCCACCACCACCGAGTCAACCCCCCTCCCCTTCCCATTTGCCCTCTCCAAAACACTTTTTTCAAACTCAATGTCATGACGTGCATCACCCCCAATAACATCATCCATATTCTACAAAAAAAAATTTAAGAAAATTTTAACTTGTACCACCTTAAAAAAAAAACCACCGGCTTTTACCACCTACATAAAAAAAAATAAAAAAAAATTTTATTTAACCACCACATAAAAAAAAATAAAAGTTGGCTTTTACCACCAATCACCTCCAACTAACGGATTCCATCCATAATCCGTTAGTGGGGCCTACCATGTACACATGTCACCATAGTATTGGGTAAAAATTTTAAAAAAAAATTAAAAAAAAAAACAAAATAAAAACCCATCCACCAACCGGCTCCCGGCCATCGCCGGAACAGCTACCAACCCCATCACCAACTCGCCACATAGCAACCACCGCACAACGCACCAGCCATAACCATGGATTCCGACCCCCTTTCCACCAATTTCCGACCTCAAAACCCTAGCCACCAACATAAAGCCCCCTTCGAATTTCAACCACTCCTAAAACCCTAGCCACCACCAATTTCGCACTCCTAAAACCCTAGCCACCACCTAATTCCGACCAACTCCCTAGCCCACACCAAATTCCGACCCCTCCCTAGCCCCACACCAAATTCCGACCAACCGAGGTGAGTTGATTTCGTTACCGGCTGGTTGACATGGAAGATCAGGGAAGATGAAGAGGAAACGTCAAAATGGTGGCCCCTACTAACGGATTCATGGACGGAATTTCTTAGTTGGTGGTGAAATCCAATTTTTGGAAATTTTGTTGGTGGTAAAATAAAACTTTGTTTTATGTAGGTGGTAAAAGCCAATGAGTGGTTCTTTGGAGGTGGTAAAAGTCAAAATTATCCCAAATATTCTTAATGTTCTGTGCTACATACAACAAATAACCTAGAAAAAGCTTACTGTTGACGGAGGGCCTTTTCTTTATGATAATTTTTGTTAGCAGGCATTGTTTATTGTGTTTATTAAATCAAGGATTTTTCGAAGTTTTGAAATGAGGCTTGATTAGGGTTTACATTGAAGAAATTGGCAATGAATTGATGGAAGAATAGGAGAGAGGAAACGGGGCTCTTTAAAATTGAGCCAAAATGGTGAGGGAAAGGGAGGAGAAGGGCTATCTGGGTTAGGGTTCTGATAGGGATGGGTGGTCGCAGTGGGGGAAAGGGGGCAAGAGAGGGGGTCGGCCGATAATGATGGAGGTTGGTCACAGAAAGCAGGGGTTCTAGGCGATGGCTCTGGTTGGGGAGGGGAAAGAGAAGGATGTAGCAGGCTGGGGTAGAGTGGCGGTGGTTTTTTTTGTTTTTTTTTTTTTTGGCAACTTAAAACCAAAAAAAAATTTACAATCAGGTTTTAAGTTGCCAAAAAATTTCAAAAAAAATTATAAAACAAATGAAATTTCAAAATAGATCATACAAAACCTCTAAACTCTAAAAATATGTTTGAAAAGTTGTAAAAAAACGATGAAATTGTAAAACATCAGAGTTGTAGCAATATTTGGGTGGAAAACGCATTTAATACACAAAGTTACGCATCGCGTGCATAAAAGACAAGTTGTATATTAGCTCAAGATATATCAAAAGTGCAACGAAATATAACCTCAAACACAAAGTAGGAGTTATGGAAAATTAATTTCTTGCAATTTTGTTATTTAAATGTATCTTCTGTTTAGAAATTTTTGTTTCTTCATTTCCTTAGTGGAGTTCAAAAAATTAATCCATTAAGAACTTGGTGAGCCGTCTATAAGCATGGATGTTAGTAAGGATGATGAAAATCATACTCGCTATTAATGATGGGACGAGGTGGATTTTAGGTTGTACCCGTCTCGCCTATCCCACTTCGTACTTGCCCCATAGGCCCTTATCCCACTTTGTATCCATATATATATAATTATACTTTTTTCTACAAGAAAAAAATAACGATTGTATTTGAAAGATGAGGATTTGGCGGATCTTGAACGGGGATTAGGTGGGTGGTGGGCAGGGAGCTAGGGATGGGGATTAAATGGGTATGATGATCTGAATATCAAAGTAGGGGTGGGGTGCGAATAATTTTGGACTTGTACATACTAGCAAAGACAAGGATAGATTTTGAAGCCGCCGAGAGGATGAAAATGTTAAGCAAGGCTGGAATTCTAGGAAGGCCAACATTCACCTCGTCCTGCCCCATTGACATCCCTCTCAAGGAGTCCTAATGTATTGCAAGTTATTTCAGACTAAAACGTCTTGCCAAAGTACACCAACTAGTTGAAAAAAAACCATATCCTTTTTTATTGATACACCTAAAAATAACTAATTTGCTCCATAAAATCTACTACACATGGTGTTTTGATCACATTGTGCTAACTGTACTCCCTAACACCCACAAACATCTCCAACCAAAAACCATATGAACAACCAAGTATTTGTATTCGGTATTTGTCATTTTGAATACACTAGAAAAAGGTAATCTGGAAAAAGGGGGGAAAAAATGAGAGTGATAAAAGAGGGAAAAATAAGGAAAAAATATTCACAAATGAGGGAACTATTGATTTTCCAATACATTAACAGCTTTTACAACACTTGGAATTACATACATTCCAAATATTAACCTTTAAAAAAATATTATCATCTAGGACCAGACAGTTCATCCGGTCGGAGATTGGAAGTAGAGTCAACAACCCATTCTCCATTGTTGGGATGAGTGAGGTTAGCTTCCTGGCGGAACATCTCCTCCTTTTGCCATTCTTCCCACCTCTCAGCCAAGCCATCACCCTCGAGCATTCTGACCACCTCTGACATTTTAGGCCGTTCCATTGGAGAGCTTTGAGTGCAAAGCAATGCAACCTGAATAAGCTGCTCAACTTCAGCGTCAATATAATTGCCCTGCAAATCACCATCAACCAAGGTCTCCAATTTCTTCTCTTTTAAAAGCCCTTTAACCTGAAAAAAAATATGATCAAGAGTCACATTAGTGAGAATAGAAAACCTTGGCAGTAAGTAGATCAAAAAAGATTGCTACAACATATTTAGGAAGTTCTCAAAGATTAAAGAAGATGAAATCCATATACATACCCAATCAAGCAACATAACATCGTCATCATTGGCTAATCGGGCAAGATCAAAAGCTCTTTGTCCGGTGATGAGCTCTAGTAACATAACCCCATAACCAAAAACATCAGTTTTCTCTGACGATTTTCCAGTTGAGAGATACTCTGGTGCTATATGTCCAATGGTACCACGTACAGCTGTAGTAACATGTGTATCTTTGTAGTCCATAAGTTTTGCCAAGCCAAAATCCCCAACAACTGCTTCATACACCTCATCCAACAATATGTTAGCAGCTTTTACATCACGATGAATAATTTTAGGGTCACAATGATCATGCAAATAAGCAAGCCCTCTAGCAGCCCCCAATGCGATTCGCTTCCGAATATCCCAATCAAGTGGTGGGTGTGTCTCCGAACGTTCTACAATGAAGGGGCAAGACATATGATTTAACTAGTTATAGAAGCAGCAGGCAAAAGAAATATTCAAATGTTAACAGTTTAACAGCTAGTATCATCATAAAGAAATCATTATTTAAGTGGCAGCTTCAATACTTGCATTGAATTAAATTTCCAACATCAAGAACCCTTACATATGATCATGCTTAGATTTGGTGAGGTAAATATATCACGAGATATTGTAAACCACCAGGAATAGATAAAATTATAAAAATACCTCTCAAACAGGATGCAACACTTCCATTGGCCATATATGGATAAACAAGTAATCTTTCAGTGGGTGTCATGCAAAATCCACGCAAACGAAGCAGATTTCGATGGACAGCCATGCTAATCATTTCAACTTCAGTTTGGAACTGGAGTTCTCCACCTTGGGTGCGCTCCTCTTTAAGTCTCTTGACTGCCACAAGAGAGCCATCAGCCAATCTGCCCTTGTAAACCTTTCCAAATCCACCTCGACCAAGAATATTTTTGTGGCTAAAATTATCAGTTGCAACTTGTAGTTCTCGCAGGGAGAACCTTTTGAGTTGTCCCAGGTGAACTTCTGGATCTTCTTCAGCTGCAATCAGTGATATTGGATTAATGTGTCGCGATGTTTTAATGTCAATAAAAGCTGTATTTCAGGTTTCCACTAACCAGGCACGTCAAAGAAATGTTCTTGTGGCTTCCTCCGTCGCCACCAAGCAAGGGCAATTGCAGGAGCTGCAAATAGTAAAGCGGCACCCGCAGCAACTCCTCCAGCAATAGCTCCAGTGGCCCTATTGCCAACTGAAACGGCATTTGGAAGATGCATCAAACACTGAATCATATACTGGTTTTGTTTTTTTTTTTTTTTTTTTTTTAGTTTATGACATTTTCTTCAGTTATCTAGGGGCAGGGAAGAATAAGCAGTCACATGGGTCGGTGGATCCAGTTATGGAAATCAACACAGCCAACATAAATATACAACTTGTGGCAGGGGAAGCAAAAGGGTACAGCAAAAAACAGCTTAAAAACTATAACCATTCAACTCAATGAACCCGTAACCTCACGTCAATCACTTAATTAGGTTCAGAAGACCATTGCTATTTGCAATAATTATTACCAAAAAATCAAACATAAGGAACAGGATATGAATTTATTAACATGAAAATCAAACCAAAAAAGTGGATTTAATATTGGTGAGCTTTGAAAAGTAAAAGGCAATTTTCGCCTAACATATCAATTAAAAAGTACTTAAATATCTTTATGAAATGAAATTGGGAGTAAGCAGATGACATTATACATACTTCAGGAAGATCGACGTTAGAATAGCACCATAAAGTCAAAGGCAAACCTGATTGAGATTTTGGCGTTAGAATTGGACTAGTTGGAGTAACTGCCGGCATAGTCAAATTTTGATTACCTTTAAAACTGAAATCAAGAGACATGACAGCAAACATAGAAAACTTAGCATCACCTCAAAATCATTGAAATCGTGAAGAGTATATAAGGATAAGTTTGTTAACCTTATGGGGGTAAACATTGAAAAGGATCCATAAGTAGGAACAATTCCATGCAAGTGGTTGGTTGATAAATCACTGCAATCCACATTTTGGGAAATTAGAATTATACACCTCTTAACAAGTGCATAGAAAACTTATGCGCATGAGAAGCACTGCAATTTCTGACATTGAAAAAAGCAACTTGACACTCACAGGACTTGCAGGGTAGTGATAGCAGTTAATGAATTTGGTATTTCTCCAGATAAGGTGTTGTTGTTCAGCCGCCTATCCTTGCAGAAAAGTCATGCAACAGAAACTGTTAGAAATTAGGAGATAATGACAGTATAAAGGCATATGTAAAAGAAATAAAATGTTCTTAAAGAAGAGGCTAATGGTATAATATAACAAATCAAACAGAAAAAATTATATTCTAAGTAGACTCACAAACAAGGAAAAACAGAAAATAAATTAACATATATACACCAAAACTAACAAAGATCATATAATGACATGATGTTTGTGACAAATAAAGATATTGATAGCTTAACCCAAGTACCCAATTACTTTTGATGATTTTTCAGAAGAATCAGTTTGTATTGTGTGACGGAGGGAGTAATAGTTATAGATGACAGTCAGATGGAAGTCTTATCTTTTTTTATTTTTTCTTTTAAACCTGACCCCAGGGGCACTTTAGCACACTCTTCCCCTTTTTTAATTTTTTCCTTCCATACGTGACCCCAAAATTTTTCCCACTTTTAAAATCTAGCACATAGAATAGGAATTTAATTTTAAAATTAATCTAAAAGAGTTACAGTAGTAATAAAAAGTGTTAGAGAAGTTACTAAAAGTACTTCATAGTATAAATAATACTAAGTACGAAGTCATTCATATACAAAGTATAAGAAATTAAGCATATATTATATTTTCAGAAATTATGAGAAAAATCATTACAAAACACATAAAACTAAAACATAAAATTTATGTGCGACAACCACGATGCGGTCCGCGATCGACACATCAGTTCTGTTACCGAAATACCGTGACCATTTCGACGATCGGGAACGAAACCGCATTTTCGACCATGATCCTAACAGGTATATGTGAGATTCCTTTGGGACAGTGATAATTGATTTAAAATGCAAAGAAAGAAATAAAGTGATACCACGTCCACACAACAGTTATCATTAAGGAAAAAAGAAGGGGAATAAAGTAATCAATCTTAACAACAGAGATTGAGATGCATTCATACAAGAACCGCAGTTTCTGGAGCTTGCCCAACGTATCAGGAATGGGACCAGAAAGATTATTCAGGTAGAGATCCAAGCTCACTAAGTTTTTCAAGTTTCCAAGTTCGTATGGTACTGTCCCACTAATGTTATTGCTGTAGAGCTCCCTGTCAAAGAAACAAGAAGATAATTATTAGTCTACACGGCCGGAAAAAATCTGCAAAACACTCAAGAAACAACAAAGATTATCAGAAAAAAAAATGAAAAGAAAATGAGATTATTGATTCATTCTACTAATTACTAAAAGAATCTAGCATATCTTTCGAATCAAACTTCTCCCTTAAAGGATTTGACTTCCTTTCCACAAAACCAGGATATAGTTGCAACCATTTCCTGAACTCAAAAGGCACTGACCTTTCTTTAATTTTGTGACTGATACAATACGGCCCAAGGATATAGCTGCTCTAATTCTTGCCCTACTTTTGTAACTGAGTAGCACCCTCTTGGTGACTTTGGAATATAAATTTTCATTGCATATTTCAAAAAAATGAACAAAAATAAAATAAAATAACTTTTTTTTTTGGAAAGAAAGGAAGAAAAAAAAAAAGAAAAAAAACCCTTCATGCAATCAAACAATGACAGAGAAAAATAAAAGAACAAAAAACAAAGAGAAAGAGGACTAGACCTATATCATCCACAGAAATACAACGGTGTCCATGAATGTAATATTCTCCTTTGTAAGCAATGGTTTATCGATGAAATCAATTCTACTACTACACAGACTAGATAAAGCTTTAAGACAGCATCTTAGCTCTGAAAATGTTTTTAGCAAAAGAAATGGTTTAGTCATAACCTTGGTGTAAAAACAAGGCCGCGACGTCTTAGTTGGGCCATTTTGTAAAGGATTTTCAATTGACGGGATTGTCTGTATCAACAAGAGGTGTTAAAAAAACCCGCAATTATGTCCGAATCAAACATTTCAACCCCAATTCACCCCTTATTGAAAGTTACATCTATTGTTTCACTCAAAAGTTACTTCCTATCCAAAGATATAGTGAAAGATCACCCCACTAATGGCTCTAATCCTTTACTATTCTACCATATCTCTCCATTGATGGCTCTAATCCTTGGGTATCTTTAAATCAAATTTGCATCGCGATAACCGTGACACGGTCCGCGATCAACACATCATACCCGTTCCCGCAACATCGCAACCGTTCCTGTAATCGTAACCGAAACCGCATTTCCAAACTATGGTCATAACAGGAAACAACCTAGTTGTAGGAGTAATTGGTTAAGAATTTGTGTGTGTTTTTACAGCTAAGTCCATAGTTTCAACCTCTCTACTAAGTATGTATTTCTCTACATATATATGATTATATACAATCTATACCACCTATAGGGTGGTAATGAATGGTAAAGGAAAATTATGACGAAAATACATAGAGAGTAGAATTGCATTAATATAGATTGTACTATAGGAATATGTTCTCATTGTTGTCATTTATTACCACCGAAATAATTGACTATGCCAAATTAGATAAACATAATTTGAGTTATAAAAGAAAGCAATTATAAAATTTATAACTCTATCAAACTCCTAAACCTACAAGCTAGCTAATACCGATTGGAACACAGGTTGTAACAGTAATGAAAGAAATAAAATCAGACACCTCCTTGGATTTATAGCATATTTTTGGCAAATAACCACCTTACAAAAAGTATATAAAATCACTTTATAAATTACTCCAACATTGAAGGACCCGCGTATGTGAAATATTCAAAGGGAAAAGAAAAAAAAAAGAAAAAGAAGAAAAAGAAATAAACTTGATGCCCCAAATTAATGAGCTAGAATGTTTGATTAGTGATAACTAGAATACTTACAAACAACAATTAGTAATTCAAGAAATAGTGAAATAGATATTCCATAACATCTACTTCCTCCATTTTCCCAAGTATTACTCACTTTGCGTTTTCATTCGTTTTTCTAAGTTCCAATCACTTTACTCTACTATTCCTTTCATGGCAACCTTTTACTCCCTCCGTTTCGTAATAATTGCAATAGTAGGCTTTGCACAAAGTTTTTAGGATATTTTTATAGGGTGAATTTTATAATATAAAGTATAGTTAGTGGAGATATAATTAATTGTTATGAGGAGAGAGAAATAATAATAATAAAAAATATATATATATATATAAAAAAAAAAGAGGTAGTATATGTGGGGTTAGTAGGAAAGAGAAATAATAAAATATCTATACAAGTGGGGTTAGTGGGAGAGAAATAATAAAATAAGGCCCAGTTCTTTTGAGCTTCTAGGCAAAGCAGAGTAGAGTAGAGATTAACAGAGGAGAGATTAACACAGTTGAGCTTCCACACACTGCAAAGTAGAGTAGAGCATAGTAGATTTCAGTAGAGCACATCAGAGAAGGGCAGGATAGAGCAGGCAGCGCAGCCCAAAAAGAAAGGGGCCTAATAGTGGATCCTTACCAAAATAAGAAGTGTTGCAATTATTATGAAACGGATATAAAAGAAAAGTATTGCCATTATTACGAAATGGAGGGAATATTCATTTTTTATCACCTACAACCACCTAATTTTGTTTAATAAATCTCTTACTCTCCGTCTCTCACACCACTTTAAAGCAAAAAGATCCACATGCATGGTCCCCATTTTCACTTTTTTTTTTTGGTATGCGTTGCTGAGGAAAAGGAGGAAGTAGATTAGTATGACCCAACTTCAAAAAAAAATTAGAATCGTTGCTAAGCCTTCAACTCACACGAAACATAGAAAAGTTGTGTGAAACAATATAGCTATTAATATTCGCTTATTCAAATTGCATAATGACAAAAAAAAAAAAAAAAAAAATTATGCTATTTGTTCTGTGTGCTGGTGTTTGGGGGGGAGGGGTTTACTTAGTTTTCAAATATTCAATTGTGGGTATTAGGATAAATAATGTCTAGCAACTTCAAACCAACTATAAACCATTCATCTTCTCCCTCCCCTTGTCCAATAAAATTTTTAGAAGTTATTTTGCATTCGTCTCATTGGATTCAATGAGGCGGATTAGCCAAAAGTTGTGGATTTGTCAAGTTTTAGAAAAGCTGGTGGTTCACAAATTTTTAATGATTTATGCAGTTTCAATAATTACCTAAGTACCACTATAAATAAAAAAATTCCGTAAGAGAATTGGTTGAAAAGGCAAATAATCAGCAATGTAGCAAAAATTTCAGCTATGACTGTCTAAAGCAGAGAGCAACAACCAGGGCCGTCTCAAACTTTATGGATGCTCCGTGCTAATTTCAAAAATAAGGCTGACATTTGCACACCTATATTTACAAGTATGGTATGCTAAATTATAAAATTTTAGGTCTCAAAACTTCACCAATTTCCTTAAAAAAAATTATATTCCCGTTCCCGTCAAATAAAAACTATGTTCCCTTGAACTGTTTGTCTAATTTAAAATTTTCATTTATAATAAAGAGTCATAGAGTACACTTTAACATAACAAAATAAAACAAAAAAAGGCATTCATTTAGACACGAGGATTATTTGTAATAGAAATTTTAATCATACAATTACAATTCCCTAAACAAAAGGAAAAAATAATTGAACAATTATAAAGAGAAACTTATTCCCTCAAAAAAAAAAAAAATAAGAAATACAAAGTAAAAATATATAGAGACAAACTTATATGTCACCACTTAAAACAAAATGAAGGCTAAATTCAACAAAAAAACATATCCGAATAAAGAATAACAAAGGGTGGAAAATAATAACGGGAAGAGGGATGAGTCATGGATAATAAAAATTGGAAGTGAGTTTCGAACTCTCGACCAAGGAAACACAAATTGAACGCAACAATCTAGCTAGCTAGCACCGAACATCTACTAAGAATGGGAAAATATCTTACTAGTATTTAATCACATTTTGATAGGACTTTCATTATTTGGGCCTCATTAATTTTTGGGCCCTGTGCTGCAGGTCTCTTTGCAAAGGCTATTAAACGGAACGGCCCTGACAACAACTTCAGCTATGACTGTTCAAAAAAAAAATGCTTATTCCTCCACATTAGTTTTATAAACAACAATACTAGTATTCCGTACTTATGTCCATTTGAGTCACATGTCTAATACATTAAATGGGCATGGATTGGTATGCTCCCACAGAAACAAAAAAGAGTCAAAAATATTTCCCTGAGACTGTTACACAGAATATATCATCCCCAAGATATGTTTCTTCACATAAGTTATGACCTGACTGAATTCTTATAACAAAACTAAGATTTTTTTTGAGCAATCTTGAATGCTTTCAGAAACATATATTTCCAACATCTTGTTTGTGTAATTAACTCATTCTTTAATCATCATCAAAAGTACCAAGCAAGACTGCTGGCTGCTGCAATTAACATCTGGTCCACCTATCTTTATAACCCAAAGAGGAGCTTCAGCAAAAAGAATTCCCAAAAAAGACCTAGATGTCATCACTGCATCTAAGAAAGCTAAGCAAAATCACACAATCAGCCTTCTTAGGTTTTAGTCCATCCGCATAAACCAAGGAAAAGTGGAAATGGGAAGGTTAGGGACTGTAATCAATGCATGTGACTACTTTTGCTTTAAAGAGGAGAAATATATATAATTGGGTCCCACAAAGTTACAGTTGATAGAAAAAAACTTAATAAATGGTTGTCATAAAAGGAATAGAGTAAAAGTGAGTAGAACTTAAAATAACAGATGAACGCTAATAGAACTTGGAAAAACAGAGGGAGTATGAGCTTTATAGTCTATGGGGCACTGCAAAAGTATAGCTAGAAGGGTCTTCAATAGTTTACTTTTATCCTTTGAATCGTTCATTATTGATGTTAATCTTCCCCATTAAGAGGTAAAGATTACTAAGTTTGGTAGTAAGGCCCTGAAGAGTTGCTACTAACTCTATTTTTCTCCCTGTCAAATGGGTAAATAAATAAACCTTGTCTATTCCTTTCTGTATTCCACATGCTTCCATCCATCTTTCTAAAAGTGTATATTCTCTACAGTCCTTGTGGCCATGGAGTAACAAATTAACAATAATGATAGGAGAAGTGGCAACAGATCTAGCTATGTGCCTCAGATTCATACATTACGAAAACTGGTTTGTGGGACAATCCCTGATAATGTTTAAACCAAACCTTCTCTCTGATTATCAAATCAAAACTAAGATGTACTGAAGATCATAGCATATAAGTTACAAACATATATAAATTTAGCACAAAAGATGTTTAAGCCTTAATGTGACATTAGCTCAAAAAATTAAAGGAATGGAATCATGAACCAGAAAATATCAGTATCGCCCAATCCACAGAATAGACATTTGTCGATGGCTTGTGCTTGTTTAGAAAGACATCATAAATGAGTAAAATGAATTCTAGGTACATATAATATTCCACCAAAATCACTCCAGCTACCCACTTCCCACATGCAGCTCACATCATTTGAGGTGATCCAACCTAGGACCTAGCCAAGCATTACTACCTAGCCAGGTTGCAACACAAGGATGAAATGTCCCCCTCCCCCCCACCCCCTCCCTCCAAAAAAAAAAAATGCTCATGAATGACCTTATAATACATCAATTGGCATAGCCCTAACCATTTTTTAAAAGCCCCATTTGAATTGCCAAAAGTCCCCCCCCCCCAAAAAAAAAAAAAAAAAGAAAAAAAAAGCCCATGAATGACCTTATAATACATCAATTGGCATTACCCTAACAATTTTTTAAAAGCCCCATTTGAATTGCCAAAAGCTCAACATCAATACATCAATTCAATGTAAACAATAACCAAGACCAACCACTTGCATGAATATGAGTCAATCCAACAAGAGCAGTGAAAAAAATATCAGCCAAATTAGTAATACTTACAAGTACTGAAGATTTGGGAGTTGACCAAGTTGTGTAACAAGTTGACCAGTTAAGTTTGCATTGCCAAGATCACTGAACACAGACATTCAATGATTTGATGATAAATATCTAGTTCAGAAGAATCCGTGAGCTAACAGACAGTACTCAACCAGAATTTAGTAGCTTACACTCTGGTGACGCTGTTTTCACTGTTGCATGTAACATGGAACCATGTGCAGGGATTTACAAGGGTGGGATCCCAACTTTGCAATACACCATTAGGATCAGCCAAACTAGACTTGAGTGCATTCAAAGCATCACCTGTTTCACATGCACAATGCCACCATCAGGAGCTAATACATATAAGCAATATAAGAATTTCACCAACAGCTTCAATAAAATAACAGATGAAGCTAAGGAACAGAATGATCAAGGAAGCATTCTTACTCAGAGAAAAAATCGCAAAAATAAATATATCCTTGGAGTTCCATAATATCAAAGGAAGTTCATTTTACTATATCAGAATGATCCACATGACTGAATTAGCATAAACAAATTTCTAGCTCAAGGAAAGAACAAAGTATCTAACTAGCACAATCCATCATCTCTCAGAAAATTGCACTTCAAAATCATTTTCTCCAAAATTAGGATGACTCACAATTAAAAATGTAATTTAGATACATTTCAGAGTACTCTTGTAAATGGAAAGGAAAGGACACTAGATTAAATAGAAAAAAGAAGGCACTAGCAATGTACAATATCTATATTACTTAGATGGAAGCAGATATGTTAAACAAGTTGAGGAGTTAGAAAGATGTCGCTCCCAGGAGTCCCATCGAGTCCCAGCTTCATTTTTCACATATCAGCAGCCTCAGAACCGACTACTCATACATTTTTAGAATTGAAACTGTCCTAAAATCTTTGTTTTAAAGGGTGCAAGGCGCACCAAGGCGCAAAAGTCCTTAGAGTCTAGGCGCAAGGCAAATGCGCGCCTTTTGTAGGTGAGGCGCACTTTATTCATATGGAAAAGAAATAATAATTCCTATTAAATAAGTGTAAAATTGAAATTACATGAAAAGGTGAAAGGGCCATGTGATCGTAAGCAAGGGTTCTTCAAATCAAATTAGGGGATATGGGATTTCTCTCTACTCTAGAAATGAATTAACCTGCCCGTATCAAAGTCCCATAGTATTTTATAGAAAAAAATAACTTACACAATAGCAATTGATGCTCTACAACATAAGGCGCACGCCTTTTGTAGGTCTATGAGCCTCACGAAGCTAAGGTGCCAACTCTTGAGCCTCACTGTGCCTTGCGCCTAGGCATGCCTTAGGCGCGCTTTTTAAAACTAAGCCTAAAATTATGACCAATTTAGATAATTGTATTATTTATGAGCAACTCAAGTATCCAATTTCTCCTATTACCTTATGTTCGAAGCTGAGGGGTCAGAAAAATACTACTCGACATTTCATTCTTCAGATATAAGCAGCCTTAGAATTGGGCTACTCAGCATTCAGAAGTGAGATGTTCCTTAATACCATCATTATTTAAAATAATCATGAGTACCTAGAGTATCCAACATCTCATGCTATCCTATTCTCTATGTTTTTATTCTCAAAGATCAACCCTAGCCTAAACAACAAGAAATGACTTTTAACTTCTCCCGCTTGTTACTAGACAATCATTGGCCAATTCTTTTCATCAAAACGGGGTCAAAATCTTTACATCATAATATTCATAATCACAACTCACAAGAGGAACATAAACCAAATTGAAACAAACACAGGTAATGAATTGAAAGAAGTGAACTCAAGCAAACTCGGAACGAAAGACAAGAACTAACCTTCGGCATTGGGAGTTACATAGTGGAAGTAACTAAAGACCAAAATCAAATGCAGGAAAGCCCAAATGGAGGAAACCCCTTGCTCCATTTCGTCTTTCGGATCTTCCTAAATGAGCAGCGCACATAACCCAACTAATAAAATTCACCAATTTCCACTTCAACTGTTCAATTCACAAACAAAAACCACATAAAAATCTGCAAATAATCAAGGGTAATCATCAAGTCAATCAAAACACACTCCAGTCAACTCTCACTTTCTCTCTCCTCCCTCATTAAGCAGAAATGCAGCAAATTAACAGCAGAAATTTCTGGGTTTTTTTCTAATTAGATTGAATTAAATGCTGCAACAACAATCAATCATAAAAAACAACAAACACCCATTATAATAATTCATATTTCAAAAAAAACCCCAAAAACAGAAACACTCAAAAATCCACAGAAACAAGCTCAAAATCAAAATTGGGAAAAAGGGAAATCGCAACTCACGATCAAAACCCGTTCTCCGGGACAAAACACTGTTCTCAGCGCCGGAAACAACTACCGGCGGCAAAGAAGATCGGCGGAAATCACAGCGAAAAAAGAGGAGAGAGAAAGTAAAGCACAGAAGTTGAGTAGGGTATTGGGAAGAGGAGAGAGAAAGAGAGGAAACAGCAGCAGCAACGAGGAGGAAGTATGCCTGAAAATGGCGACGAAACGAAGAAGGAAAGAAAGGAGAGAGAAAGCGAGAGAGAGAGTAAGACTAGTTAGCGATTTCTGGCTGGTCAGCGTACGAGTATTCCTACTTCCCACTTCTTCTTCTGCTACTACTAGTCGGCTTTTTCTTTAATTTATTTTATTATCTTCTTGTGGTAAAATGACAATTTTGACCTTTGACTTTGCTGTTATCTAGTACTCTCATTTTTTGAATTTTCTAGGGGTGTTTTCGTCATTTTCACTATTTTGTGATTTAAACGGTCTACCACTTATGTTTTTTAACCACTGTTTCCTCCTTAAGTCCCCAATTTGACCTTTGCAATATTCACACACTTTATAGTTTCTGAGTATCAACTTTTTGTAATCTATAAATACTCGAAAAAAGTTGGGTGAGTCTAATATATTTAACGTTAATAATCTAATATCTGACATTAATAATTAAATAATTAATGTTAGACATTAGATTAAAACAAACCCTCAATACTCTCTACTCATTATATCATATGATTCGTATCATACCCATAGTAGTTGTTTCGGGGTTTTCTGATGTCCTGCGGGAGAGTTACAATTCCGAGACTGGAACCGGACGTCTGTACCTGCAAAATAACGGAGACTCCTGAGAGCTCCGCCTCCAACGGTCAAGTTAGTATCTGATTAAGGAGTAATTAATACGGAAATTAAAGTAATAAGATCTCTCTAGGTGAGAGTGGTTAATGTTGGTAATCTGCGTCGTTAGCGAGATTAGCCGGTTATTAGCGTTCCGTAATGTTTCTGTTCTTCTCTGCTTGATTTCTATTCTCCTTAATTAATGAGGATTAATTAAGTATTTATAGCCTTGAGAAGCGTGCCACTCTCTAGGTTTAAGGTAAACCTAGGGCTGACCGGGCCTCTAGACTGGATTGGGCCTTGATGGCCGGTTTTCCCATTTGGCATGGGTGGACACGTGGCGTGCCTCGATTGGTCCGTAGAGGACGTATCTGTGATTGACACGTGGCAGGCTCCTATTGGCCTTCGTGAAGGACACGTGGCGGAACCTGGTTGGTCCACTTGTCAGACGATGATTGGTGGATAAAAATCCCCTAATCATTTGCCCCTCACAGGTGGCACGTGACTGGTCACGTGTCGCCTGTGACAGGTGTCGCACGGTGACAGGCGACGGCCTGCTACAGGTGTCACCTTGCAAACGGCCGAGAGATTTTCCCGCCCAAATTTTGAATTTGGAAGCGACCCTTCGCCTTCTCACTTTGCCTATAAAAGGAAGTGCTGACTTCGGTCATTTTCACATTTGAGAACTTTGCGAGAACATTCGGACCCCTGAACTTGCTCTGACATTTCGGACCTTTTCTGCCTACCGCCTGTTCTGACAAGCCGACTGCACCGGACTTCCAGAACTTCATCAACCGTCACTCGTTCAGGTAACTCAGTTCTCTTACTCTTAATTTTCTTTTTATTTTTTGAAATGGCACCACGGAAGCACACGACACGACCTAAGTTAGTGATCAGCCGGTCACCGGGGACGGCTGAATCTAGGACTAGGAGTGCCGCCTGCCCTTTTCTGGACCCATCTTTGCCCTTTATACAAAGTCCGACTGTATCTGTGTCTATGCAGAACGTGATGGCCAGAACAAAACAGACTGCTATGATATCAAACTCAGACGGCTCCTCCCAAAGGGTGCTCCTTAGTGAAACATCTGACCAGGCGCCAGATGTAGAATTGAAACGAGACGGCTGCCAAGCCGACAGTTCTGAGAGAGGGGCCAAGGTGGTCCCTTCCCATCTTACCGTTGACATGTCTAATTTTCCTCCTGCTCCTTCTAAGGGAGAGGAGGCGGGCCCCTCTGGGAGAGGGGAGGAGTCGTCCTCTTCGGACTCGTCAGAGGACGAGTCCGAGTCCAGCTCTTCTGGCCACAGTTCTCCAGGCTCAGAAGAAAGACATAGCCGCCTACAAGAGGCGAGACTTTCTCATGCAGTTGAGAAGGGGGACAATTGGGCGGAGCCGTCCGCCTCTTACAGAGAGGAAAACGCCCCCTACTACTGCATGGTACCCCGGGGCCGGATCGCAACCATGCAAGAAAAAGTGGCGAGCTTTATTGCTAACCACAGAATGGGCCCGGAATTTTTACTGTTCGTGCCGGATCCAGAAGACACTGTCGTCTGGCCGGCTGGTACCAGCTATGATGACGGCTGCTTTGGCTGCTATGTGGCGGCCATCAAAGCTGGACTGCGCTTCCCATTACATCCGGCTGTTCAGCGGATTTTAGATGGGTATGATTTGGGGTTATGGCAGTTAGCCCCCAACTCTTGGGTAAACGTACTCGGCTATGTGGCCGGGTGCGAAATGTACGGGGTGGAGCCAAGCTTTGAGGCTTTCGCCCACATGAACTATCTCAGCCGGACCCCTAAGTCAGGAGGTACCGGCTGGTATCAATTAACAAGCCATAGGGGTTACCTCATGACGAGAGGTAAGGCGAACAAATGGAAGGATTGGCGGAACACCTTCCTTATCATTGAGGGTTCAGACACGGAGCTGAACCAACGTTTTAACAAGTGGAATAGGGATCCGCCTCTTCTCGCAGGCGGCCGCAGCATGCCGCCTGTTCCCCCAAAGGCTAAAAGAGAGATCCTGGACAAAGGACTCTTCAAAGTAGAGACTAGGGTGAACCCTACTTCAGGGGTACGAGAGCAAGTACCCCTAAACTGCGTCCCGAGCTTCAAGTGGCTCTATGACGAGTACTTTTTGGCCGCCTGTGGCCTCAGCAGTCGGTGCTCTAGAGGTAGCCGGCCTGACAAATACTCTGTTTTTTCACGCCTTGTTTACTTGGGACCTTTACTAACTTTGCTGTTTATTTTTTGCAGCTGACGCCATGAGTAAAATAACAGCATCCAAGACTGCGGCGGCCATGTTGCGGGCCTCTCTCATGCAACAGTCTTATGCCGACTCCCCCAACAAGGGGGCACCCTTGGTAGGCTTCGAAAACTCTTCCTCTTTTAGTTGTCTTATGCATATACTAACTCTTTTTGTTTTCAGTCTGGCACTCCAAGGGCTTCTTCCTCGAAACAGCCGGACCCCAAGGCCCGGAGGACGACTGTTGCAAGCTCTCCTGGGTCTTCCAGGAAAACAGTGGCGGCTGAGAAGCAGCCGGCCACTTCTTCTAAAACCCCGGCGGGGCCGCCTAGAAGTATGGACAATCACTTGTAAAAACTTTCACACTTGCTTCCTTCTTGACTAGGTCTAACTTGTTTTTTTTTTTTTTTTTTTTTTTTTTTTTTTTTTTTTTTTACGCTTGATGCAGCCGGCCCTCAGGGGCTTGACTTGGTTGAGGTAGCCAAGTCCATGGTCAAAGTAGTTCCTCCATCTGAAAGGGAGGCGGTCAGGGGTGCCGGCACCCTTGACCTTGATGGGATTTCAGGGGTCCTTGCTGAGGTATACTTAGCATATTTTTGAGTATTTGAGTTCCAGGACGCCTGTTATCTTTTTTGTTTGGAAACTGACGCCTGTTTTTTTTTTGTACTTAGGCCCTGCTCCGAGTCAACAGCCTTCGCAAGCCGATTGATCGGAAAAACAAAGAGGTAAAGGCCGCAAAAGCTATGGCCGCCTCCAGGTGTGATAAGGCAATGTTTCAAATTGCCCAAAATGAAGTACTGACCATTGATCTTCTTTATTATCAGGCGCAGGCTACCGCCGCTGTTCGGGCTCAGTTAGAGGCGGCCCAGAAGAAGATTGACGAGCTGGAGGCGACCGTCACAAATCTTAAGGCCGAGCTGAAACCTCTTCGCCAAAAAATGCACTCTTACGAAGCCATGGAGAAATCTTTGGCCAACGTAAAAGAACGCCTGGTGAGCCAAGAGAAGAGTCTTACCCAAGAGCTCTCGGAAAAGGCCGAGCAAGAGAAGAAAGAGCTCGTCCGGGAGATGGTGGAAGACTCCGCTCAAATCCAGCGCATGACCTGGGGCCGCCTGTTCCCCAGTGCCGACTTTGCCTCATGGGAAAGAACGTACCGCCAGTGTTCGGAAACATATAATCAAGAGATCCTGGCGGCTGCTGAAGAAGAGGCATTGGGAGATGCGTTAGAGGAGGAAGAGCCGGTTGTGGCGCTTGTGCCACTTGGGGGTAAGGCATCAAAAGAAGATGCAGCTGAAGCCAAGTCCAGCAAGAAGAGTGCTGACCAGGCGGCAGCTGCTAATACTGAACTGCCCCCTTCTTAAGCTTAATGTATTTTTTCCACGGCCTGCGTGCCGTTTGCTTTGTAATTACCCGGCCAGGGGGCCGGGGTTTTGAATATTCTGCTGGTCTTTAATGACCGGCTTATTTTTAATCAAATTTTTGTTTTGATTCAAATTTGTCTAAGTATTCCATATCCAATATCCCTTTGTTCACTAGACCGACTGTTGTGTATGGCCGAACGTTAAGACAGGTACAAATAGTAAGTACGCCGCCTGTGCCCCTGGACGACTGGTTGTCTGTTTCCAGGATAGACGATCAGTCGGCCATTTATTCAATCGGTATTCGAACTATTTATTCAATCGGTCTGACCAAGTAAACAGTATTACCTAGTCGCCAAGGAATTAAGTAGGATAACAAGCGGCGGGTACCGGTTGTTTCCCTTTATTGCCAATGTTGGCTTTTAACTCGTAATTTGTTAACCTAGCAAGAGTAGTGGTTGAGAGCCCCTGTTTATTAAAAACAGGCGGACGACTCCTACCTTTTAGGCTCCATACTAAGTTTGAGTGACTATTAAGTTAACATAGGAGTTACTTAGTCTTCGTCACAATCTAGATTGAGTAGTAGAGGTACCAGGCGGCGGAGGCCGGATGATCCTCTTGATTTGCCATTGTTTGTTGGTTATTAACTCAATAGGTTACCTAGTAGGAATAGGGGTTTGAGTGCCCTTGTTGGTTTAAAATAGGCGGACGACTCAAACCTTTTAGGTTCCATACCAAATTTGAAGGAGTGACTATGAGTTAACGTTGGAGTTACTCAGTCGCCGTCACTTTTGTTTGAGAAGTAGAGGTACCAGGCGGCGTAGGCCGGCTAGACCCCTTGATTCGCCAATGTTTGTTGGCTATTAACTCAATAGGTACCCCCTGCATTTATCCCAAGTAATACAGGC